AGTGCACATGGGATGGAGGGGGGGTAAACTTGTAGTCTTCCCTGGTTCCCTGTCTCCAAGGTCGGAGGCTTGGGATGGAGGCCTGTGGAAGCAGCAGAAGTGGACATGTGAGGAATTGCTGGACATCCAGAAATGAGCTGTTTTAGGGTGTTGATGACTAAGCCCAGGCTAGCTGGACACTTGCTACCCATGCTCCTACCCCTCTCCCCAAAGTTCTAGGCCCCGGGTGGGATTGACTATCAGCCCAGAAGCCGGAAGCTAGCATACTGGGAACCCTGTATGGAAAGAGTACCTTGTCCCCAGTGACAAGTTCTGTTGTCCCTGCTTAGAGGCCTAAGAGGACTCCGCCATCCCATCCGGGGAAGGAAGTGAGGGCCTGACCCAGCCCAGGGCTCTTGGGGGAGGGCCTCCCCTTACCTGCAGAAGCCTCATTTGCTCCGCCAGGCTGACAGGTTCAACCTGGGGATTCTGCTGCAGTGCTCGAAGTCCCGGGGGTAGGTGTTGGCTCTGAAGATGTTCCTCGGAACCATGGTGATACCGGTATTGTCACACACAATCCGAGACAAGGAGATCTGTCTCAGGGCCCTGCGCTGCCCCTTGGTGAAAACACCTGGTTTCTCCCACCAAAACCTGCCAAGACAATCGAGAGATGTGGGTGAAGGTAAAATGAGCACCTGCTCTGTGCCAGGTACATTATGTCATTCCATCCTCACAAAGTTCCTGCAAAATAGGTATTATTCCTATTCTATAAATCAGGGGTCCTCAAACTTTTTAAACAGGGGGCCAGTTCACTGTCCCTCAGACCGTTGGAGGGCCGGACTATAGTTAAAAAAAAAACTATGAACAAATTCCTATGCACACTGCACATAACTTATTTTGAAGTAAAAAAACAAAATGGGAACAAATACAATATTTGTATTTGCATGTGGCCCGCGGGCCGTAGTTTGAGGACCCCTGCTATAAATGAAGAAACCAGTTGAGTGGTCAAGTAAATTGCCCAGTATTAAAGGCCTGGTGATTTAAGTGGCCAGGGCTGGATCTGAACCTAGGTAAAGGTCAAATCCAAATAAGAAGTCCAGGCTTAAACCACAAGCTTATAGGAGGCAAACCAGGTTTAGCCTTTTCTGCCCATGTTTTCCGGGACCCTTTAGCCTGGAATAGCGAGGAGGCTGAGAAGTCTCCTGGGTTAAGGGTGCCTCCAGCTCAGGCAGCATCAGCCTCCTGGGTCAGTGGTCTCTCCCTCTGGCCAAGCTCTCCAGGAGCCTCCTGGTCTCAGATCTTGTGAATGTGAAAGAAATGAAGCTAAAAAGAGCACTTTCCCCCATTGTTGGGTCTTTAAATGTTAGTGCTTCTCTTCCCTGCTCTGGGGCTGGTTTCTTTAGGGTCGGGTCACTTACCTGTCTCCACTGCGGGCCCTTGTGAACTGGTTCTCAAAAAGACAAGCCAGAAGAGGCCCCACACGGGCCCCTGGCAGAAGCGGCTCTGCAATGGCCCCCATCCAGATGTCAATGTTGTCAGGTGTCCCGTATAGATTCAGGAACTTTCTTGCCAAACCCTGGTTTTTCAGCACACGGCTAAGCTGTGCCAGATTCCTGGGCTGGGAGAGCCCACAGAAGCGTCGCCAAGCATTGTACCCTGAGAGGAAGGGGGCAGAAGCAGTTTCAGTCTTACCCCTGCTGTCCTCCCATTAGCGTCTGCTTCTCTCCACATTTCTCCTGAGAGCTCTGTGGTCTGGCAATATCAGGCAGAACAAGAGCCCCGCAGGCAGAAGAGGCCCTGAACCCAAGACCAAATGCCAGCGGGCAACCATGCTTTGCGTGCATCAGACTGAGGAGTGCCTAATACTCAAGACAGTACCCAGGACACAAAGGACTCTCAGTAGGGTTTGAGAATGAAAGAGAGAGAGAGAGAGAGAAGAGAGAGAGAGAGGAAGGAAGGAAGGAAG